ATTGCCATACCAAATAGGAAGTTTTGTGTGCGTATAAATTGCAAAACAGCACAATTTTAGTCTTTGTTAATGATTTCGGTATAATTTTTGGTAGTAAAATGATTCAAAAAAAAAAACCGCTGCCACTCGGTTAAGTAAAATTTTTCTCCCATCCCTTTGTGAGGTTGAATTGGTTCAGTTTTGTGGAAAGGACTGGAACGGCTTACTCTTTTTGAGTAGATAAAAAATCATTTTTGGGTAGCTGTTATTTCATTGTTCTAACTGGTAGGCCGATTGTAGCATCCAGGTTGACGTTAGATGCCAAAGTGTCGAAGTCATACTGAACACAGAAAGCAGAAAAAAATGAGAAAAGGAGGCAAGAATGAGATAAGACGTTCAGGTCCATTAAGTCATATATGTCTTAGTGTTTCATCATACGGCACTTTCTCAGTTGTGTTGTTGTTAAGCCCAGCTAATTTCATATTCTTTTTCAAGCAAATACTTTTTTCTCATCAGTCTCCTTTACTGTTTTTATTTCACACAAAAGGAAGCCTATTTTTTTCAGTTATCCATTTTTGTTCAAAGGCCAAGAAGATTTGCATCTGGACGAACGTATCATGCAGCTGTTACGCATCTGTAATATGATGCTGGCAGAAAAAGAAAGAGATTGGCCCTCTTACACAGCTCAGCATTATTCGGTAACACCACTGGGCTCACGCTCGGGCCTTATCGAATGGGTTGAGGGAGCAACATCCATTTTTCAAGTCTACAGAAAATGGCAACTCCGTCAGGTGCTTTTTTTTTTTCTAAATGATTCTTGCGTTTTCCAGGTTTTTTACTTCAAATTCGTTCTGAAGGTTGACCAGTACTGAATTTCCACAAGGATGAAATGTGGAGAAGTTTACGGTTTGTGCGTCTCCTAGCACCGTCTCGGCCCTGTCATTTCTAAATGGCGTTAAGATGTTTTATCGTCAGAAAATCAGAACTCCCTTCATAGACCATATTTAACACTGCATAGTTAGATGGGGCTTATAAAAAACGGCCTAATTGCTAGCACTTTGACAACAGCAACCTAACGCTGTCAAGTCCGCCAAAGTCTTCTTTCTCCAGGATTTACTCGAAATCAAAATAAGGATACTTGTATTCCCCTAGCATATACCAGCACGAGCTTTTCTTTAAAACGGCAGTCATTTTCTGATTATTTCGATTTTTAGAAATTACATACTTTCAGGCGCCTGCGAGTGAAATTGAAAGACCAAGCGAACTTTTCATGAAGAAACTAAAAGCATATTTCCTCGACAACGTAAGTTCATTTTCTCTGCAAATATATTTTTGCATATTTTTGATGAAAGTTAAGTTTTTACATATTACGTTTTTACATATTTTTTTTGGAAATTCCTATTTTCCAAATCCTGTACTGAATAAACAGCTTATCCTCAGAATTGACTCGATTTAACATTTCGTTAAGTCCGTCATAATCTACTGTCGTTATGATCTACGGAGTTATAAAGAATTCGTGCTCATTCTGTCGAAAATTGTTAAAATATTACAGAAATTGCCATTGCAATCGCTTGCTGATCGTCAAAAATGGCCGCACACGGCGTTGAAGAATGTTATTCAGGTGCTGATCGATGAAACTCCAAAGGATCTTCTTTCAAGGTTTTATTCTTATTCAACGAACATTTCGTGCTTTTTCCCTCGGCATTTAGTCCTGGACGGTATCCTCTATGTCAGAGTAACATTACTCTCCTGTTGGTACTTCACGTTTTCTTTTTTTTTTTAAAGAGAGCTGTGGTTTCGTGCTGGAAGCCCAGACACGTGGTTCCGTGTAACAGAACGATTTGCT